TATATGCCAGCCAGCTGACTACAAGGAGCATGAATCCTCTGCTCAGAGCACAAGCAAACCAGCCACTTTCATTCCACTAATAAGCAGCAAAATGTACAGCACCATTGCAGAGGGCAGACTCGGGTTTTGTCTTGCTCTTTTACTCCTCCAGCCTATATCTGTAACTATAAAAACACTATAAAACACGTTTTCCCAACTCTACCTCTTTCAACATGCCCGTGCTAGCATATGTCCATCCACCCATCTGTAGCAAGCACAAATTGGAGCTCTGCTAAGAGAGCAACTCAGGTAGCTGCCAGGCTGTCTGGCAGACATTCCTGGAGCACTTGTAAGTTGCCCTTACAGGTTAGACAAGAAGAACATATCCCTGCCCCAAAGCTCCCTCCCAGCATCACCAGATGTGTTGAGAAGCATTTGTACTCCAGGAATGTGAAGGGAGAACCAATACTCTAAACATCTGGCCACAGAAGGGTAGTGATAGGTCTTCAGGTGGCAATCTGAATAAAATCAGTTATAGCAACTACTGGTCGCTTGTGTCCTCAGCAGAGTGTAACAGTGCTTTCTTCCCAATCCTCCCTTCTGCAGAAAGCCAAAGCGATGCCACTTCTTCTGAGAACGACCCAGGAGCAAGACCAGAGGGGCAAGAAAACAGCCCCTCCCCATGACAGTGTGCAGGGGGTGGGATGGGCAGGAGGAGGGCCATCTTAAACAAGTATTTGCTATTGAATCTGTGGACACAAGCCAACCTGGAACAGCAAGTTGTCTGTCAAATGCCTCTGCTGCACATGTGTTTGTTTAGAGAGCTACATGATGCTGTACAAGGACTGGCACCTCCAAAAGACTTCTGCTCCTATCCCTAATGATTTAGAGCAACGCTGCCGTGGTCGTAGTGGTATGAGCCATTCTCAAGATGCCTTAGCTGCAATTTTCCCCTAGGGGAAAAAATGATTTCAGTAATAATAAACACATCAGACTTTCCTGTCCAAGGTACCTTCCTCCTTTGCAAATTTAGATTATTTATTCTGTTTCCATAGATTAGAAACATGGATTATTGGTTTTTCTAAGCCTCACCTTCATCTGTTAGACCTGACCTGGCCAATGGACTGTCCATACGGCCTCTTGTCAGGGTGGGCAGTGGGGAAGGGACTGGAAGTGGCCAGTAATGCTGCCCTCAAGTCAAGCACCACTCACCTGTGCTGCTGCCGCTTAGCATCAGGAAAGGACCAAAGCACAGCTCTGTGTGGATGAGCTCCACCTAGAGACCCAGCAGCACCAGCCACAGGCATCTTTTCCTTTGGGTTTTAGCATTTTGAGATATTGTTAAGGGGAGAGGAGAAACATTTTGCTGTTTTGACTGTTGAAATTCAGGCTTAACTTTGCAAACTGTTAGCTGAGATGATCTCTGGTAGGATCTCACACCATTCTCTCTTTTAGGAGACATGTTTTGTGTTAAAGATGGTTTGATAAAACTATATAAACTGTTGGAATAAATAACACAGCCTTCAAGTACTGAAGGTGGTTTTTTTCTGCCTGAATGTTTCCTCTTCTTTTATTTTGCCTTGTAACTGGTTGAGCTGCAGCTCAGAGTGGTTACACCAGCTTCCCCTCATAAGGAGATAGGGAGCTGTGTTTCAAGTCCATTCTGTTTGGGTCTGTGAAACCCCATGGGTTTGCAGCACTCAGATGGAAGCAGATGCTGTTAGGCACAGAAAACGCTAAAAGTCTGCCCCACATTCCCAGTTTTGCTGCCAGGCAGCACTTTTCCCATGGGTGTCTCCACATTACTACCCCAGAAGTCAAGGAAAGGCTGGCTTGGGACTTGGCCAACTGGTCCAGACATCAGCAGAAGAGGTGCTGGTGGGAAGAGGTGTCTGCACCTGATGTTTCACCCAGCTCCAGCAGAGCCAATCCTGCTGGAGCTCGGGATGCAGCTACAGCCCAGCTGGGGTCTATGGCCAAACACAGCAACATGGTAGAGCTGGCCTGAGAAATACTCTCCACTGGTGACACAAGGACAAGCATCACCCTGACAGCCTCGGCCAGAACTGAATGTTACAAGTTTGGGATTTATCAGAGAAAACAAGGCCATAAATAAGCAGAGAAGCGGCTGCCAGACAGAGGGAGAATTGTCTGTGGGCTTCCAAGAAGCAATGGCCACGGGGCCAGCACAGAGCTGTCCATGGCTCCAGCCCCCACAGGAAACAAGGATTGGGCAGCCAGGTAGTGGCTGCATCTGCTGCTTTGGCAGCTGCAAACCAGCTCAGCTCCCGGCACTGCCAGGATACTGTTGCAGCTATGTGCCCGGACAGCGGCCAAGAGCCTGCTCCCATTTCCCCACACTCAGAGGCAAAACAGCAGGTATCTCCTGCACTTGGCTGACCACACAGTCGGGTCTTTAAGCCCCATTTCCAGCTCTCCTCACTGCCAGTGAACAGTATTTTTGGGTCATGCTGACACACAGAGAAAGCTAAAAGGCGGCACGGAGGGACTGTGCACCAGGCAAGACCTCCAGCAGTCAAATGTGGGCTAATCTTAGCTCTCCTGGTCATAAAATATCTGTTCCAGAATTATATTAGGCAGGTGATTAGCCTATTGGCCAGCTACCCTCAAAGGACAGGCGAGAGGCATCAGGTTCCCCCTGCAAGTCAAAGAGCCAGCCCTGCTGCTGCCGATTGTGCTCTAAAACCAAGAGCACTGGTTTAATCCAACCACATCCTGACTTGCAATGTTGTTGAGCACACAGATGCTCCCAGCCTTTTATTTCAGTCAAACACAGGGGCATGCCAGAGCCCCCAAAACTGAAACTGAGCACCAAATGATCAGAAAGTCTTTCAGCAAACACTCCCCCGCCCCTGGGACAGTGCAGTCCAACAGCCAGGCAGCACAGGCTGCACCACTTCTGGCTCTTGGCATCAACTGACACTGCAAAACTTGGGAGACAGGGAAAAAAGATTGTAAACTATTCTTGATACATGCCAGAAAAAATGAGAGCACCCAGAAAAAGTCAGAGCACACAGTGATGGCATTGCTGCCTCTAGCAGTGACACATGTCCCTTTGATCACCGAAAGGAAAAGGACCCGTGAGGTTGGAACAATCTGCATCTATAAATCCAACTTGCCCATAGTGAGGGAACAGGGATACCTTCCCTCTGGCTGTCAAAGTGCTCTGACCTGCCAACAGAAGAAGGCAGGGCTCAGGCTGCCAAAGCCCCCATCACACCTACCAGTTGACCCTCGTGCTCTAGCAGGAGTACGATGGCTCATGTTGTGGACCATGGTTCCTAACAGCCACCCTTGAACAGAAAGGCAAGAGAGTTTATCTTTTAATATAAATCTGTTATTTTATTAAACAGGATTAACGATCAACTGTCCAGAATCCAAACAAGCCACTCATCTTCAGAAACAATTTTTGGAGAAGAATTACCAAAAAAATCTTGGTTCTTACCGCAGTCATGTTCTTAAAAGTGATGCTTTATCATTTGCTTTATAAAAGTAAGAAACTCACTCTCTCATATCCACCTGTCTAGCTATATATGTGTATATATATGCACCATGTACTTCAGAGATGAGCATTTTACTCAGAAGACAAATACGGAAGCCCAGAAAGAAGGGAAATACTCCAGCACGTGGTTGCTGCTGGCTGAGACTGGACCAGTCTCACATGCTGTCCATGGTAATGGTGACCATGGCCCCTTGTCAAAGGCAACTTTTTGGTACAGTATCTTTGGAGTAAGCATCTTGGCAGACACCCGGGATGCTAAAGCACACCACACGCTCACGTAAGAAAAGGATGGTCTCTTCTCTGGGTGCACAGCTCTATTGCATGTTAAGTAAAAACACCGTAATGCACCAAAATCACTCAGGAATTTTGGTGATTGTTTCTACATGAATTCTCCACCAAACAGATCTGACTTCTAGCCAGTGTTGTGGTTGAGTGAGAGAAGCATTGGAGGAGGGACCCGAGCCAACACGTGACAATGGGCCCTAGCTTATTAATTTACTTATTCAGTTGTAATAGTGCTTAAAGATTGTCAAGTCAGGAAAAGGGCAGAATGGTTAAAACAGGCAATCAATCAATCAATCAATCATGGTATTCTCAAGTCCTAGACAAAGATAGAGGAAGAGTAAATTGCAGCTCACAGGAATCCTCCAGGATGAGTACAAAACTGGGAAAAATCCCAGAAGGCAGATTTTGGCCCGAAATGGTAAAAATACGTTCCAACTTCCTATGCATGTGAGACCGTGGTCATGGTCAGCTGTGAGCACACAGCCCAAGGTGTGTACTTCTGCAGCAGTGACACCGGGAGGCCTGAGACATGGGAGTCCTTAACCAAGAAAGATGCCAAAAAACTGCTTGAGTTTTTTTAATGCCCTTCAGACCTGTGCACGGGCAAGAGCACCAGCGTCCAGTCTGTTCTTGTTCCAGTCTTGTTAGTACAAGACTAACCCTGGGTAAATATAGCTGTGGCCAAACCCTCCTGCCCACACAGATGGGAATAAAGCCTCTGTTTCTGAAGTGCCTGCATGCTCCCTGTCAGCTCTAACACAGCTTTTTCCTAGAAAGGTGAAGATTAACTCAGGCCATGGTCACAGTCAAAGGTGGTTATTTCTGCACTGCAGACAAGGGCTAGGCAGGTCAGTAGGGCAGGACAGATAAAGCAGAAGAAGAGGAGAAAAAAAAGCAGGGGAGGTTCTTCTGTTTGCATCTGCAGTAGAGAAACACTGGCAGATGGAGAAGTGAGTCAGGCCAGGAGGCAGTTTCAGTCTGCTTGCCCACCAGCAAGACAGGAAGCTGGATATCTATTTAGGAGAGGGTCTGTGGGGGTATAGGTAGGTGTATGGGATAGCATGATTCTGCTTAGCACTGCAGGGGTTAACACAGGACTGCCAGGAATAGAGACCGACCCAGGGCACCTTCTCCAGGTGCTCCCACTAGGACAGACGAGAGTCAAGCACGCATGAAGAAGGGCCACCGCTCCATGCTGGCTCACAGGGATGGGTCACGATGCATTGGGGACCATCCCATAGGCTTCATACAGCTTGTTGAGCAGCTCCTGCTTTTCCTTCTCAGGTAAGAAGCTGGACTGAGCTGCGTTGATGTTCTGGGGTGGCAAAGGGTCAACACAAGGGAGACGTTAAGACACATCAGACATGAACGCATGGTTGTGCACATCCCAGCATCTGGCTCTGAGCAGCAACACACGAGGAAGAGTGTAAAGTTTCCACTCCAAGATTCATTTCCACAGCCTCGCTGTACAGAGGAGCTGCTCTGGCCCATCACTAGCAGCAGATCCCAGAGGAACAGGACAGGTGCAAACCAAAGGCCTTTCAATACTCGGGAGTGTTTAGGATATGCACTTTAGACATTCTCCTACGCTCCCAGCTCCCATTTGGACAAGAGCCTCTCCCAGCGGCTGATGTGCTGCCTCTGGGAGATTGCCTGGCTGTGCAATTTAACCTGCTCATCTGACTTGTGCAGGGATAACCTGGCATTTGCAAGTGCAGGAGAGGACACTGGCAGCAGAACAGCTGTGGATCCAGCATCCCAGAGCTGTCCTGGTTCCTCCTTTCAGACCAGAGTGATGTCTGTAGGAGAAAGGGACTTATTCCTCCAGCCAGAGCTGAAAGCATGACTGATGCTCTCTTGTAAAGTGCATCCTGCACTTCCCAATCTCATAACGTATCTCGGGAGTCGTGTAGGTGGAAATGCTGAGCATGACTCAGTGCAAACCAGGAAAGGTTCACTTGGTAACTAGGTAAGTCAAACACTTATCCTGTCTTTCTGTCTTGGGTGAATAATTAGCAAACCAAGGATGTAATCAAGACACATCAATGACTGCGTGCCAAAACTGAAGCCAGCAGTGACTGTGTTTCTAGCTCAGTTTTGTATGTTACACATACAGAAACTGCAAACACTTCTATACCTGCTGAATCTCTCTAACTTCTGGGCCAGACCTTGAAATAACATACCTGCAATTCCAAATCCAGAGGAAAAAAAGACAACAGGCACCTTCCTTCCTTACTGCCAAGACCTGCTGTGAGGATATCAGTGGACAATTTCCACCCTGACCTGTTCCCCACAAAGCCCAAAGCCTAAACCTTTATCATCTAAAGAAACACAGTGGGTGGTGCTGGGCTGCACTGGGACATCAGCAGAGCATCCAGCCAAGGCTGACTTACCACTCTCTTGAACTCCTCTTCAGTGAAGCCCATGTAGTCCTTCACTATGCTGTAATCCTTGTAAATGTTGGAGTTAAAGATGAGGGGGTCATCTGTGTTTATGGAATAATTAGCACGATCCTTCCTAAACCTGCAAGGAAATCGGGTTGAACTCGTGGGTAAAACACTGGATACAGCACTGGTTGTGCACTTCTCAGGGTAAAATGAAGTAACAGGGACCTCGTAGCTCTCCCTGCAGTTTGCACTGCTGGACACAGGACTTGGCTGGTCTCACCACCACTCTGCACTGACCTTCTCTGGTGCAGCAAGGAGAGTGGCATCTCTTACCTAGCGTTTCAGCAACCTCAGCTCTCACCCACCAACCAGGGCTGGTGGCCAGTGTGCAGCACCTCGTGCCCTACGGCTCTGAACAGGGGCAGGAGGGACAGGACAGAGCCCCACATCCCCTCCAACTGGCACTGGGCCCCTCTATGCTGAAGGAAAGGGGTATACCGTGTTCTCCTAAGCGGTTAGATGTGTCTTACTTTGTAAAGCAATAAAGCAGCTATAACCAACCCCAATCCTGGTTATTTAAGATTGCATATAATTGAGAAGTCTTACTGTGTTACTGGGTGTTTCCCAAAGTCCGGAAGACATGCACCAGTGAGATAACTGGACCAAGGACAGACCTGTTTGGGGGAGTTAAACATGAAAGCTAGAATCAACCATGCAGATCTGAACCCCAGCTGTGTACACAGATAGCTAAGCATGCTGGTAAAGCCACATACAGGTTTAGACCTTTGCTCATAGCTATCCCTCAGCGCTACTCTGATGGATCAGTGCACATCCCGGGACACGGATGCAAACAGCCCGCAGCCTGTGTGACAGCACAGAAGCTGGTGGAATATTTCCCATGGCCAATCAGCCACCAGCTGTGTGTCAACCACAAAGAAACCACTGGCTTAAGTATATACAGATATATTCCACATATTAGCTGAATACACCCATTCTGGAGAAAAGCCAAGGAAATCTGCTCATGCACAGTAACTCCCAGAACTTCCACTCTCTAACCAGACAGGCTCCAGTAACAGCAGCCTGATTTGTGGGAGGAGGAGCCTGTAGGCTCGAGGTATATAAGTTAGTGAATAAACCCTCCAAAACTTAACCTCAGCCAGACCAGGATCCATTTCTCCCTGCTACATGCCTCCTGCAGGCTGCTGGGGCACCAGTGCGAAGATCCCTGCAAACAGCCAATGGTGCCCACCATTTCTGCTGAGGAGCTTTGGGCATCTGGGTTCAATGGCAATGTCACCATACACGTGGTCAGCACTGGGGTGTCAGGTTGGGAATGCGGCTGTAGCCCACATGCCCAACACACATCCTTACCTCAAAATGCATCTTTGCTCTCAAGAGCTCCTTGTAGAGCTCGGGATCATCCAGGACACGGTAGCCATGGCCAATGCGCTCAGCCTTCAGGAGATAAACTGCCTGGAGAGCACAGGAAAACCACGCACAGCTTCTGAGCCCCAGCTCTGCTCCTGCCTGCCCGGAGATCCCTGCCCACCGCGGGTACAGGTCGTGCCACTGAGCCAGCTCCAGGAGGTTCTGCTCCGAGCTGTCGGGGCCAGATCTCTGCCTGTCCCCAGAGTTTGCTCTGCTATGAATATGGAGAGGAGTCGGGCTCCTCTCTCCCCCATGCAGGGGGTGCCAGAGCACTTCCCACCCCTGCCCCTCTCTCTGCCCCACACCAGGAGCTCCTCGTACCTCTTTGATCATGGCAGGCGGGCCGGCCTCCCCAGCATGGACAGTACGATGGATCCCACATCTTTCAGCTTCCTGCAGAGCAAAGGAGGACACGCTCCTGTCCCATCACCCGCAGCAAGGTCAGCAAGCCCCTGGGCTGGCACTGCTCTTGGGGGCACAGCAAGCAATAGGGGTCTTTGCAAAGAGCCCCCAGATCACAAGCCCTGTGCCCCAAGAAGCGCACACACTCTGCTATAGCACAGGCTGTGAGAGAAGAGATCGGTAATGCCAGACACAGAGAAACTTAGAAAGCCTGGTTACCTTCCCCTGGAGCCCAGCCAGGGTCCTCAGGGTCTTTTAATAACCACATGAGCTCACCACTGTCTCCTCTCCAGACAGCAGCAAGCTTGAAGCTCTCCTTCCTCTACCCACTTGCCCTTCTGCATGAACCCTGCAGCAGCTCCTGTCTTTGGAACTTCTACCTCTCTGGCTGGCTGCAGCCAAGTGGGAGAATTGAGAAGCCCCCAGGGCAGAGACGAAGGGATGCTCAGACACCAGCACCTCCCTCCTCTAAGTGGCCAGGGATGGAGGCAGCCCAGCCAGGGCAGGCTGCAAGCCCCATCTCGCAGCAGACACCTAGGCTCAGTGAAGGTCAGGGCAAGCTCTGCCTGGGGTGTCTACAGAAGAGCTCTATGTACATTGACCTGAAAGGCCCTCTGTGCTCCCTACATTTAAGGGAGTGTTGAGTTTTCCCAAAAAGCTGATTTTTGACACTTTAAGTGACAAAGTCCCTCTGGCTGAAGAACCAGACCAAGAAGAGAGATGGACTCACACCAGCTCAGAGATTTTCCGCTTGTTTCTACACAGGATGAAGAGAAACCAGAAACTCTCACCCCTGCACTCCCAAGACAGACATCCCTAACTATCCCAATAGCAGCCAGGGATACAAGCAGAGGGGTCAGGAAAAGCACATGCACCGGGACGTTTCCTCTAACCCTCCTGGTTGCCAAACCCTGTGCCACTCCATCCAGGAAAGACCTTGTGTCTAACATCCATCCATCATCATATCCTCCCTGGAGTGCTTTAAACCCTTTTTCATTTCAACCCATTTGTCTGAGGACACAGAGTGTTTCCCTTGGCTTCTTCTCCAAGGATCTCTGCTTCCTTGGACACGGTGGTCCTAGGATCCTTGGCTCTGTGCTTCCCAGTGTTCCTCTGCAGCCAGCAGCCACAGTTGAGTTTTTGCTGTTATCTGGTCTTTCCAGCAGCCCTGCTTGCTCCCAGGCAGAATGTGCCTGCTCAAGGGACATCACAAGACTCTCCAATTTCCCTGGCTGCATTACATCCCCCACAGAGCACAGCAGCAGTATTTATGGGGATGTACTTCCCTGCCATGCAAGCCAAGAGGGGCTGATGGACATGAGTGGGATTTGCTTCAGCATCTCAGAGCCTGAGTGAGGCCTTGGCACAGAGACAGGGTCCATCCATCAGATGAAGAAGCCTGGACCTGGGTACTGCTGGCACACCAGGGCAGGATGGAACATGCCTGCCCACCAGTTAGTAACTGCACCCATGTCTCAGTCTATAACCACTTAGTTCATCCCCCACAACACTGCAGATGGACCTTGTATCAGTCTCTGCTGATGGAATCAAAGACCCCGAGAAAGCCCTGTGTCATTTCAGACCTAAGTGCTCCTTGCAAGCCACCTTTTTGGCAGTGATGGTGCACAACCTCCTCTCCCACTGATGCAGGGGACCAACAACCCCAAACTCCCACCAGCAAGGCACAAAGCTTTCTCTCCAAGCTGCTACAAAGCGCTGAAGCACAGCGAGAGTCTCAGACCAGGCTCCTGAAGCCATTCCAGCACTTGCATTTGAGATGATCAGATAAAAGCACTTCAAACATGCAGCTTCTTCTCTGCTTTGGCTGATTTCTGCCAGACTGGAAAGGCCAGTCTCTTCCACCCTTGGCTGTGGCCCCAGGAACAGACCCCAGCGTTAGCCTGCCGATCTCCAGCCCTAAGGCCATGTTTTAACAATGATGCCTGCCATTAATCATTTGGGAAATACAAACACATATTTCTGCTATTTAACTGAATGTTTTCAATAGCTGCAACAAAGTTTTAAGCTGTCCCGGCTGTTTGCAGTTGGAATAATGCACTGTGTCCCCAGAATATGTTTTTCTTACATTTTCTTTCAAGAAGCTTATTCAACAAACCTCATAAGCCTTCTTATGCTCAGAGGAATCCTCCACTTTCAGAGACTCATCCCCAGCCAGGTCGATGGCCACCACAGAGTTGTTTTGATACTTCTTGCAGAGCTCCACCACCTCGGGTGACCAGCCTGAAAGAGACAGCACCAGGGTTCAG